ATTTAGCAGGTTAAGGTCTCGTTCGTTATCGCGATTAGGCAGACAAATCACTCCACCAACTAAGAACGGCCATGCACCACCACCCACGAAATCAAGAAAGAGCTCTCAATCTGTCAATCCTCATCGTGTCTGGACCTGGTGAGTTTCCCCGTGTTGAGTCAAATTAAGCCGCAGATTCCACCCCTGGTGGTGCCCTTCCGTCAATTTCTTTAAGTTTCAGCCTTGCGACCATACTCCCCCCAGAACCCAGAAACTTGTACTTTCGTGTAAGGTGCCGAACGAGTCAAAAAATAACATCGTCCGATCCCTAGTCGGCATAGTTTATGGTTAAGACTACGACGGTATCTGATCGTCTTCGATCCCCTAACTTTCGTTCCTGATTAATGAAAACATCCTTGGCAAATGCTTTCGCAGTAGTTAGTCTTCAATAAATCCAAGAATTTCACCTCTGACAATTGAATACTGATGCCCCCGATGTCCCTATTAATCATTACGGCGGTCCTAGAAACCAACAAAATAGAACCGCACGTCCTATTCTATTATTCCATGCTAATGTATCCGAGCATAAGCCTGCTTTGAACACTCTAATTTTTTCAAAGTAAAAGTCCTGGTTCCCCGACACACCCAGTGAAGGGCATGCGGCTCCCCAGAGGGAAAGACCCGGCCGGACCAGTGCACGCGGTGAGGCGGACCGGCCAGCCAGGCCCAAGGTTCAACTACGAGCTTTTTAACTGCAACAACTTTAATATACGCTATTGGAGCTGGAATTACCGCGGCTGCTGGCACCAGACTTGCCCTCCAATTGTTCCTCGTTAAGGGAATTAAATTGTACTCATTCCAATTACAAGACCCAAAAGAGCCCTGTATCAGTATTTATTGTCACTACCTCCCCGTGTCGGGATTGGGTAATTTGCGCGCCTGCTGCCTTCCTTGGATGTAGTAGCCGTTTCTCAGGCTCCTTCTCCGGGGTCGAGCCCTAACCCTCCGTTACCCGTTGTCACCATGGCTGGCCAAGACCCAGCCGTCGAAAGTTGATAGGGCAGAAATTTGAATGAACCATCGCCGGCGCAAGGCCGTGCGATTCGAGAAGTTATTATGAATCACCAGGGAGCCCCGAAGGGCATTGGTTTTTAATCTAATAAATACATCCCTTCCGAAGTCGGGGTTTTCAGCATGTATTAGCTCTAGAATTACCACGGTTATCCAAGTAGTAAGGTACTATCAAATAAACGATAACTGATTTAATGAGCCATTCGCAGTTTCGCTGTATAATTGCTTATACTTAGACATGCATGGCTTAATCCTTGAGACAAGCATATGACTACTGGCAGAATCAACCAGGTAACTATCGTCGCGCCACAGGGCCTAAGAGCGGGCCTGCAGCGGCCGCGAGGGCGCCCGAGAGCGCCCCGCGGAGAGATTGTTGGTCGGTCTGGACCCCCTGCGAGCAGGCGGCCCAACTCCCCGCGCAGCGCTGTCCGGCCAAGGCCAGGGCGCGCCGCGCAGGGCGATCCTCCTTCCCCCCCTCGAGTTCCCTACGAGCGACGTCGGCGGGCGCGCGCGGCCGACGGCGGGCGCCGCCTAGCGCTCACGTAGGAGGCGCCAGCCACGAGGTGGCAGCTTTACTAGCGTTCTTCTCCACGGTGCGGGGTCGCCTGTTGCTCGTGCGGATGTCTGGCAGCTGCCATTCGCCCACAGAAGCCCATCGCGAGGCAGCTGGGGGCCGAAGCCTCCAGCGCCCTTTGGCGGCATCCCGCCGACTCGGTCGCTGAAAAGCGCCTCGCCTTCGGGGGGGTTGACCGCCGCAATGCCCTGCCTTGACCGAGAGTAGTGCTCTCTACGTTGGAGGCTGCATAACAGGACACGACGACGGTCGATTCGTATGGGACAGTGTGTTTTCTGTGCCGACGCCCCCGCAGGGGAGGGCGCCTGCCCAGGGAGGGTGCGCGGCAAGCCGCGCAGCCCGTCCTAGGCGCCGCGCAGAGGCCCGCCCCTTGGGGGCTTGGGCGCCGTGCGCAGCTCGACTCGCAAACTCCCGAGTCTCGTCTTCTTGCTCGCCTTTTTTTTTCTCCTTCTTGTAGTCCCTGCGCACTCGACGCACGATGAGTTGTGCTAACGGCCACCAAGCGGCGCCGGTCTCGCGAGTTCCGCAAAAACAATCGCGGGCGCTGGCGCAACTGCGACTCACGGTGGTGGGGAGCACCCCGAGAAGCCCACACGCTTTTCCGGCGGCAGGCGGTCTCGACCCCACCACAGCGCATTACGCGCTAGCCTCTAGCGTGTGGTGCCCCGCGCCGCAGGGCGCTGTGCGCTAGCATCTGGCGCATAATGCGCTATGCGATAGGGGACCGCGGCCCTCGCAGGCCGCTGAAAGGCGCTGGGCGGCAGGCCGCGCCGCGCCTTTCCTTCGTCTTCCCGTCTCGTCTTTTTTTTTCTCCTTCTTGTAGTCCCTGCGCACTCGACGCACGATGAGTTGTGCTAACGGCCACCAAGCGGCGCCGGTCTCGCGAGTTCCGCAAAAATAATGGCGGGCGCCCGCGCAACTGCGACTCACGGTGGTGGGGGACACCCCGAGCAGCCCACACGCTTTTCCGGCGCCAGCGGGCCAGACCCGCTGTAAGGCGCCCGCGCCCCCTGAAGCCCCCTGTAACAGGCCATGCGGGGCGGCGTACCCTCGACCGCGCCCGCAGAGAGCGGCCTACCCTCGACCTGAGCGGCGTACCCTCGACCCCGCCCATTTTGGTGCGGCGTACCCTCGACCTGCGGAGCGGCGTACCTCGACCCGCCGCCTTGCCCGCCTCCCGCCGCCTGCCCGCCGCCTGCGGCCCCCCGCCGGGGCCCCGGGCAAACCGGGCCCGGGGAGCACGCTGGGCCACCCAGATGGCCGAAACGGCCAGTCCCCGGGGCGCGAGGAATAAAACACGAAGAATCCCGACAACCAAAAATGCCCAAGTCTAGAAAATGGGGGTAGGGCGGTTACGTTTTCCACCACCTTGGCCGTCTCCGCGGATTTCGGCCCATTTTGGTGCGGCGTACCCTCGACCTGCGCCCATTTTGGTGCGGCGTACCCTCGACCGCGCCCGCAGAGAGCGGCCTACCCTCGACCTGAGCGGCGTACCCTCGACCTCCCGCAGAGAGCGGCGTACCCTCGACCTGAGCGGCGTACCCTCGACCGCGCCCGCAGAGAGCGGCGTACCCTCGACCTCCCGCAGAGAGCGGCGTACCCTCGACCTGCAGAGCGGCCTACCCTCGACCCCGCCCGCAGAGAGCGGCGTACCCTCGACCTGCAGAGCGGCGTACCCTCGAGCGCGCCCGCAGAGAGCGGCCTACCCTCGAGCGCCCGCAGACAGAGGCGTGCCCTCGGCCCAGCCCTCCCCCCCAGCCCTCCCCCATGGCCCACGGCCCAAGTCCCGCCGCGCGCGCGACTCACGGTGCTGGGGGCCTTGTGTAGGACTTTACTTATTTTTGTAAGATATTTTTATTAGTTAGTTAGAAACTCTTTGGTTGTAGATAATAGTTCCGGTTGAAAGTTCTTGTTAATCTACCTCCCTTTTTTTCGTCTGTATGTGCTAAGGTTTTCTTTTATATATCTCGGTTTCCCCCTTTTCGTGTTTTATCTTTTTACGTACGGGACTTCTGATTAGTTGCTTACCTAGTCATATATCAAGATGGCTTATGTAGTCGTATGTTGTTAGAGCCAAGGTCTCCCGGCCCGACTCAGTATAAGATTATTACTGTTGTAAAATGGGAAGATGGTAGCACCGGAGAAAAGAGAAAGGAAATAAGTAAGCATCTTCACACCAAGAAAAGAACAGATAGGTTGACAAGAGTTCTGATCACAAGTCTCGTCAACAGCCATTGAGTCCTTCAACTAGTGAGGGAAACTCGCAGAAAATGGTAGGAAACTCTCATCGTAGTCCTTAATACGCTTCGCTGCTTTAGTGGTGGGTGTTGTGGTGGCTGGGTATGGCATCCCATCCCATTTCACGACCGGTAAACTCCTTTGACGCAAGGGATGGAACGGCAAATGATTCCTGCCGGTCGCGAAGTCTGCCATACGGTATACTTATATACGGGTCTCATTTACAAAGTTACGAGCATAAAAGACAGAAGAAAGGGAATAGAGAAAATGGTACAAAAGATTCAAGGACGCCAGATAACGAATACAGGAGAGCCCCAACTGCTACCTTCGTAACGTCAAACCGTCAAAAACATAGGAACAAAACTGCTTACAAAACAGGATAACGTAAAGCGCATAGCCGAAGGAAGAGAGAAGGAAAACAAAATAGTCCCCTTTTCTACAGACGTCTTGCGTGCACCTTGGCCCAATACCTCTGTCGTCGGTTCCAGTCCCAGCTCGAGAAACAGTATTGAAATTCCCTGTTACTACGAAGATGTTCTCCTTGAGTTTGGCTGGTGTGTGGTGTGTTTCAATGTGATAAAGTTCCATACGTCATACCCCTCATAGTCATAGTTCGTTCACATGCCAGACTGCCATACCACGAGGGCGATCTCCCCCTGCATCGCCGCCACTGTACCTGAACAGGACTGAGAAAGTGCCGCGAGCTGCCCCACGTTGCAAGCGGGCACCGAAAAGACTTACAGTTGGCCGAAAATTGGTCTTCCACCTCGGAATGTTGACCCGCCCATCACAAAAGCCGGCATGGTCGAACGAACCTATATTTTCCGGCCTCGAACGCAACTTTCAATTACATCGCCGGTGCGTTTTGTCTTGTTTGCCGTCATAGGCATTTTCGTCATTGTTGCCGCAGGTTTTGGCATTGGTCCCAGTGGGGGTGTTTACGTGTTCACATGCCGGAGCTATGTGGCTGCCAGCCTCAACTGGCCAGAGTGAGACTCCGCAAGCATAGGACAGACCGTGCACGAGTGACAAACACGTGCTGCACATGCTTTCGGGCAGGACATCTTGTCACAAGGAAACAGGAGACGGAAGGGAGGAAACACTCTCGGCCAGCACGGCTTTCCCTGTCGAGGATTTGAGCCAACTCTGGGGAGTAATCCCCTGAGCAAGGCCAGTCATTTGGCAGTGTGCCTTGGGAAAAAGGCTCAGTTACTCGCCATGTTAAACTACTGCCAAGTTCTGGGACAGACCACGGTATTCAAGTGGCTTTATGCGTGATAGATTAAGATTGCTCGAATTTGTATTTGAGTTTCTGTTGGAAACTCGGCTTGGGGGGTATCATGCTATGGAATCGCTAAGCTAATATGGAGAGGGAAAAAAGAAAGGAGAAATAAATAGGTAATGTTGATGAATGAGAACACACGAAAAAAAAAAGAAAAACGATCCAGAGGCCCAGCAGAGGCCATGCAAATGCCCTGAATACGATGTTGCTATGCTCCCGAATAAATAGAAATACAAACTAGACAATAAACATGCGTGATAGGGTTGTAAGGTGATTAGGGTGCAAACAGATGGAAATGATGCAAGAGGGTAATATGATGTAGTGATGAATGGAAGGATGACACGAGGGCGCAGCCCAAGTAAGCCTCGGGTAGATGGTGGTTGTAGTCGCGCGCGCTTCGGCTAAGAGGGTCTGTCTCGCTGTGTGGCGGCTCGAAAACGGGTCGGGTGTGGGGTTGAGGGGGAAGATGACTCATCCTTCTTTTTGTGGGTGAGTCTTGCCCGCTATCTGCATATCTGCATACGCCCCGGTTTTTTGGTGTGCATGCGATGTTGATTGGTCGGAAAATACCCTATTCTTTTTCGAAGCGGCGGTAAGGTAAAGCGGCCGCAAATCGCAGAACAGCGCAAGGACGTGGCCAGCGGCCAGAGGCCAGCGGCACGTTTGTTGGCTGAAAGTCTGTGTTGCGGAACTATGGGGAATGCTTGCCTGCTTAGACATCCTCGGCAATGGCAGTCAGCTTGGCCGACTTCTTGCGCGGAGAGGCAGATGGCGAAGCACCGGTAGCGGTAGCAGTAATAACAGTAACAGCAGCAGCAGCAGCAGCAGAAGCCGCGCGGCGCTGGCGGCGCGCAGCCGACGCCGCCGTTTTGCGGTGCTCCTTCTCGAGCAGGACTGCGCGGACCAGCTCGCGCTGGTAGGCAGAGCGCTCGCGCTGGATTTCGGCCAGCTCGTCCTCGGACGGGTCGGCATGCTCAAAGTTGTTGTTCACCTCAGCCATGACGGCAAAGGGCTGCTGGGCATTGCGCCAGCCCTGGGGTGGTGAGATGCTGGAGGCGTTGCTGTTGCTGCGGCTGGAGGCGCCGCTGCTGGTGTAGCCGGGGTCCTCCACGTCGTCGAGAAAGAGGTCTTCGTCACTCAGGTACGAGGAACACGAGGACGCAGACGAGCCAGACCCCAAGCAAGCCCGGTTGGGCCATGAGGGGAAAGCGCATGCTGTGGAAGAGCGGCCGCTGCCGATGTTGATGGGCCAGGAGGTCTCCGCGGCACTGCTCATGGAGCTGTATGAGCCGTACGAGCCGTACATGTTGGCGGTTGTGGGTGTCCGCTGCGTGGCGATGGGCAGATACAGTCTTGTTGTATCCAAGTCGTAATTGTGATTCTGTATCAAGTCGTTGGTGTTGAGAAGAGTGTGCGATAGCTCGGTAGAGACATGTGTTGTTGCTTTGTGAAGACTGGATGGGAAGTGCGAAGACGAGAGGTCTCTTATTCTTCTTGTGGTGTGTCAATATGAACAAAGTTAGAAGAAACTGGGGAAGAGGGAAAAGGAAAAGGGGACAAAAGAAAAAGAGGAGACGCGATGCGTGTGAATATATATTTTCGTGGGAGGGAAAGACGAGAGACGAGAGACGAGAGACGAGAACCAGGGACACACCCACCGACTCACACGAAAGGGGAAGGAATGGGAAGAGGTGGGCGTGTGCGATTTTCACGAGGCAGCAGCGCGGGTCGAGAACCGCAAGGGAGGGGCGTGTCTGTCCGGGGGAGGGGCGTGTTGTTGCGGACCGCTCTTTCCCGAGAGAGCACTTTGTCGACTGAAGGGGCGTGGGCGTGGGGGAACGGGCTGGAACTGTCAAGGAAAGAGCCGGGGAAGCACCGTTTGCTTGTGCCAGTGTTGGCCCGTAGCTACACGCCCTCCCGACCGTTTTCGGCTTGTGATTAGGACACAACAAAACGGTGGCTCCCACGCTACCACGCAGGGAGGCCCAGACCGCCCTCCCTTCCGTTTGCTCGTGCTTGCTCGTGCCCACAAGCGGGACGGGGCATAAGCGTATTACGAAATAATACGCCTTGACTGTGCCGCTCCTTTCTTCCGTCTTCCTGTGGCGTTGACCGCCATTCCCCTGCTGATGATTCCAGGCTTTTCTGCGCTTCGTTCCTGCACCGAAGGCATCATCACTGTCGCCGAAAACAGGAGGTGCATCGAACCAGGACACACTTTACTTTGTTGGACGGAGTCTGATGCGTCCTGGACACTTGTCTCGATGTCAGATATAGTTCCATTTTTGAACAAAGCGTAGTCATGGTTGCCTGTTTTGTTTGCAGAGGTGGACAGGGACATTACCGTATTTAGTATTCTGGCGGTGCGATTCGACATCGCCAACCGATACGCTGTGATGCGGTGATGCGATGCGATATGAGAAGAAGGGATGACGAGTGGCCGACTGTTTTGTGCAGCCGAGTCCGATAAACGGGTGAGCTTCACCGCCCTTCACAAAAGCGCTCGACGTGTGTCTGGATGGCATGTCTGCGCGCCTGCATGCAACTGCAGGTCAAGAGCAAGCGCCCGCAGGCGTGGGATGTGTTGCAGTGCAGCGAGGAGGGAGGGGGTGAGAGGACGAGGCGACATGGAGGTGAGAGCCACGCTGGGTACGAAACCAGACGAAGCCCGGATTTACAGTTGGCGCTTGTTTGTTCTCGGTCTGTTGTCTGTTGGTCGCGGTGTTTGTTGGCGACATCGGCTCAAAGAAGTAACACGCCAGACCGTGCTACCTCCTTGTCGTCGACGCAAGGATACGACAATAAGGGCCGCACGGAGCTGCAGAAACACTGTGTCTGTCACCGACGGCATATGCCTCTTTCCGGTCGTTGTGTACTTTCAGTTCTGTTTGCTTGACATGACGATGTCCTAGGATTTTAATTCCGCCTTTCCCGTGTGGACATTGTTGGTCTTCAGGCCTTTGGTCGGCTTTAAATCCTTGATCCGCCATACTCACGGAGTCATCCTAAATACAATCATGCCCCGTCCTCCAGTCTCTCGTGATATCATTCATAGTATGGGGAAAAGTGCAATCGCCACCTCTGCCGTCCCCAGCTTTTCGCCACGGACACAAATTCCGGGGCAGCTACGACGTGTTATGCAGCGTATTAGACAGCTCACTCTGCACATTTGACAGAGTCCCGCCCCGGGTTTCGAAGCCTCAGCACTTTCATCGCCTCGCATTCAGATGAGGCAGATTTTTTTTTTTAGTTTGTCATGTATACACGGTATCTGGCTGCTTTTGGGCTGGATTCATGCCATATTGCACTGGGTGTGTGGTGACGTTG